CTCTCTCTTTGTCCTCTCGTCCCTGTCGGGTACAGCTTCCAATGGTTCTCTATAACATTTGATGTGCTCATCGACTCGGCTCGTGTGCACCTGCTCGCCTTGTCTTTGCTTTCCGGGAAGCTGGGCGCTTTCTTGTTCTGCAAGCGGCGGGTCTCCACGTCCAAGGTTGCAAGACCGAAAAGGTATCGCTCTTGAAAAAATATCATGGCCTGCTTCAACGAGCATTCAGATATTGCGCCACTCCACTCCACAGGCTTCTGCTCCGCCCGCAGAACGCATGGCCATGCCTCCTCCAGAATGCTGCAGAGTGTGGCTGTGGCTCCGATCCAGTACACACTTTTGTTGAGCCCACTGGCAAAGACCTCTCCGAACTGCGCTCTCTTGTTGCAGTCAAAGGCCGCGAGACGGTACTGATGCACCTCTTCTCGGAGCCTTGCTGCTAGATGCCACGTTCTCTGCGCAGATGTCTCCTGCATCGCAGTTTTGGGGCCCAAGTGTTGGAGCACAGCGCTNNTCGAGAACAGGCCTCACGACTCTGTCTTCGAACTGCTGCCACTGTGGCTTGCCGGGTTGGCGGACAGCACCGAAGGAGAAAACGAATCGTTGTGCAAGCCCAATGCTCGATTTCAGCTCGCCCTGTGCCCACCTGTGAGTTGGAGCTGCCAGGCACATGGATGGACGCATGGGTTCCATTATCATTCTCAGACTCACACAACAAAAATAATAAGTCTGCAGCCTCGGGGCCAGTTGCGAAAGACAGACAGCTGCTGGAACAGCGCAATGGTGACGTTGGTGCTTTCGCACTGGCTGGCTTTGTCACCCCCCATGGCCTCCACACTAGCTGCCTTGCGATCCTTTCTGTCGAAGACGGTCTCCCATGTCACCGACCCGCCTTGAGCAGCATTCAGCAGTCGCTGCAAATTGATATGTGTGTTCTGTGTCCACGTGCCGTTACTCGGCCACGCGGGACACAGCATGGGCCCACCCTCGCCGGCAGCAATGACGCCGTACCCGTCCGTATCGCGGAACTTGGCGATGGCTGCGGCGTGTGTCATCGGTTCCACC